TGATACCGAGAAAACTATGTAATGAAACCACACCACACACAAAGCTAGAAAAAACATACAGTATATAAGTGTTAATGAAGATATTAGTAAAAGACAGTAATATTAAAACTATTACTGTCTTTGATACCGAGAAAACTATGTAATGAAACCACACCACACACAAAGCTAGAAAAAAAACATACAGCATATAAGTGTTAATGAAGATATTAGTAAAAGGCAGTAATATTAAAACTATTACTGTCTTTGATACCGAGAAAACTATGTAATGACAACACACCACACACAAAGCTAGAAAAAAAACATACAGCATATAAGTGTTAATGAAGATATTCGTAAAAGGCAGTAATATCAAAACTAATATACCTAGAAAACTATGTAATGAAACATGTTTTTACAGCAAATGGTTAAAGATCAAGAAGATGAACTCGCAGACAAGGACACTAAATTAAAACAATTAGAGGTAAGTGTATGTACATATACAAATGAACATGCATCCACGAGTGTATATATTTTTAAAGGCCAACGCCATGACCAACACAGCTCCTCGTCAGGTGAGTGTGCTCTGCCGCTGGTAACACTGCTATGGGAGACTACCAAGACTGCTCTTGCTGTGCTGCTGCTGACATAATTGTTGATGGCATTTCATCATTAACGCTTCATTACCCTGATATACAGAAACAATCAAAAGGGGCCATTGTAAGGAATATGTATCTGTCGGTAGCTCCAAGCTTTAGAATGTTGTAAGAGTTAGATATTATCGGTTGGCCAATGATTAAGTTGTTATAGTAGCGTTCGCCCTACACGTGTAAAAAAAAATAAAAAAAAATGGGTACGCTAGCTATACTAATCCAAGAGCCCTTAGGTGCGTACGTCTAATGAAAAGGCCAGACAACTAGTTGGCGTTTTGGAATAGACATTAATTTGTGATATTTGAAATGGTGGTGAATCTTTAGTGGTAGGTCCAGGTAATGATAATTGGTTAGAGAAGTTTAAAAATCTTCTTGAATACTATTCAGCCTTAGTCTATACCTATACATAAGCTTGTAGATAGTACAATAGTAATCATATTGTCCTTTTCAGATGCTTGTGGGTAAGAATCAGAGATCAAACATTTTAGGCGACCATTACTTAGCGAGCTCTCTGTCAACTGTTTTGAAAGTGTTTTGAACAAACTTCGTTTTGAAACATTTCTAAATGTAAAATTTCTAAATGGAAATAATGTGAATGAACACAAATTCAAATACACATGGTCACATAATGGTTTCGTAGTGAAGGAACAAGGGTATCTTATATACAATTGTATGTGAAAAGAGAGTTATGGTGTTTACAGGACTAAAAAGCATCGTGATAAGGAGACAGAAATGCTGGGTATTCATCAAGCATAAAGACATTTGAATATCTATAGTGATAACGATAACATACTTAGTGATTCAGAATAAGCATTTTCTAAAGAATCATTTTGAGTATAAACAAGACATAATTACACACTAAAACACCACAGTCATAGCATGGGAACTGCTTACGAGACATAAGGGATGAATTAGCGTGTTCTAAGGTCACTTGGCCATTGTCACAGTTGTAGGCCTGTCGGAGTCGGCTGAGGACAGTGGAATTACTGTAAGATAAGAAACATATGGCTCTTCTGGTATGAGGCTAAAGAGATCACGAGAACAGGTCACAAAGATGTCCATTGTCTAGGATACATATACAGAAAGGCAATCAATTAAGGTTTTGGAATGTAGTACATGGGGTAATTCTGTAATCTCATACAGTATAGATGGTTCATTACATAAGTGCACACTAGGTTTTCGGAAAGTTCTGTGCTCGTCAGTATTTATATGGCCACTATTATTAACTCAGGAAGATGACTGGATGTGCCACATCTATAGCCCAATCTTGCAAAAACAATTTTGTATTGTGGAAAAATAACCTTTCAAGTAGAGTGAATAGAAACAATAATCTACCAATTTATTGCAACCACAAAGTAAATTGCACCATAAAGACTTTGAAGAAAAAACAGCTACAATAATAACAGATATATTTGTATTTCTTCTGTGCCATTCCTAGTACAGTAGTACAGAGCTCTGATACAAGCGCTGATTAAAAAATACAAGATACCTTCTCAGTGGGTGTATCTAGGCTAGGACCATTACAAGTGAAGTTTGTGATGCTTTGTCCCGGTTTCATGCCCTGACTGGGTTCAACTTAACCGCCTATTTATGAAAAAGGGCACAAAGAAGCCATCTGAAATAATGAGAAATATCTAGGTATTCATGCTGCCTATAAATAATATTCGTGAAATAGATGCATTTGATTACTGTGTTATTAATATGTATGGCCTAAAAAAAAAACAAAAAAAACAGCAACTGGGCTAAACGGGAAATGAATAGCTAAGAACTAAGGTACTGAAGATCTGGTTAGAAAATCCAGAAATCCCAACCAGTTTACAGGGTAGTTATTTTATCTTCCACCAGTGACACTGACACTGAAAGATGAATTT